TACTGCTTTTGGTAAGTTTTGAAAGAAAAGATAAGATGGCAAAAATTTTAAAGTTGCAGATCGATGTGACTTGGCATTTTTAATAAAGGTGATTATAACAAAGCTAAACATAAACAACATAGAATTACAGGAGTCTTAAAGAATACAAAAAAAAAGAGCAGAAAATTATAAATTAAAATCTCACTAACCATTTCACAAAAAATCTCTCCATCCAAAATACAAAACATTATCCCAATCCATAACAGTAACTGCATAAACTGCAGAAAGGCATATGAATTACAAAGGGCAACTAGTCCAACTTTTCAGAATTTCTTTTTATTGGTTGGGAGAGTGGTGGAGAGAGTCAATGCAATGCAGAAAGGAAACTTGGATGCACAATAGCACAGGTTTTGCAACCACCTTCCATTCTCCATTTTCTTTAGATAGCGAACTAGTCTGCAACAAGATCCTTTTGTATAGTAATATTCAATGACATTGTTCATTTTCCTGTTAGAGGTCACTTCTTTTTGCCGAATGATAGGAATTTTGGGATAATTAGAAGGAAGTGGAGAAAAGAAAAAAGATATTACACAGTGGATGAAGTTAACCTAATAAATCATTCCTCAAAAAAGTTTTCCATAGTTCGGATGAAGGCAAACTATTTCGTTGATTACAGTTCATGGCGGTCTAAATTCTACACAAAAAACCCATCTGAGCAATGATTCCTGTGGTAAAGGTGTTCCTAGTCACAAAATGGTCTTTTACTTTTTTCAAAACATAAAGAATTGAACTCAGCTGAAACTGCGGAGTTATCAGTGCAACTTGCATATTGGTGGCTTGATGCTGGACACTTTTAGGCTGAGAAATTCAGTAAAACATTTAGATCTGTTTCATTGAAAGACCATACATGTGTTCTGCCTAAAAACACAAATAAAATGGATGACATCAAGCAAACATTGGTCAACATCCCTTGTGACAGGCTTCCGTTTTGGCATTCAATCATATTTTGGCCCATAACAATGAAAATTAATGAGCATTTAGACAATCCAAAAGGTAAAATGTTTTTCTAAAATGTTTATTAAAAAAATAATTTTTATGTAAAATTATATTTTTCACGAAAATAACTTAACCCAAGAAATCATTTGGAAATCTGTTTACTGTAAAAAGGAAACTTGTTCAGATCCAATAATAATACCATGGCTAATAAAAGATTTTTATTAAGAGGATTAAATAAGTATATTTATAAATATATAATATATACCTAAACTACATTTTTTTATACAGCAAAGACCCTCAAAATAGAAGAGCATCATCAGGGGTAGGAATAATGATTAAATCCTCCCCTTAAAAATAGAATTCAGAGCTACAACTTCGTAAGCGACCGGATAATAAACATGCGACTAAAAACAGCTAGAGGATATATTACGATTATTTGCACGTATGCACCTGAAGAGGGACGTAAAGAAGAAAGTATTAACTTCTATGAATCCCTCCAGTCTCACTTAAACACTATAAACAAGACAGATTATGTAGCAATTGGAGGTGATTTTAATGCACGTGTTGGACAACAAATCATGGGAAATCTAATTGGGAACAATGGAGAACAAACTCTAAATGAGAACAGCATAGCCCTGAGAAACTTTGTTAGCTTTAACGAGCTTAAAATAACTAATACCCTCCTGCGACATAAAGATATACACAAATACACATGGTCAGCAAGAAGTAAGAGATCAATAATTGACTATATCCTATCCAACAAGAAACTCTCCCCATACGTCAATGATACACGAGTATATAGGAGCTGCGATGTTGGTACGAATCACTTCTTAGTTCTTTGTAAACTTAAAATCCCTAGGAAATGGATCCACAAGAAATTAGACGAGACGCTACGCCAAAATCAAACTAACTTTAAAGTTTACCTGCGGCAACAAGAGAGTATAAAAGATTATACTGCTCCGACTTGCTATCCTCTATTGTATCAAAGAAGAGCAACGTACAGATGTAAATGATTTTGTAGAATGCAAATTTGAGAAGATAATATTACAAGCACCAGAAGAAGTGGCTAGGCAAAAAGAACAAACGCAAGGAATAGTAAGCGGGTCCAAAAATTGGAATGATAAAATACAAGAAAATTGTCATCAAAAGAAAAGCTTACCACAGTATTTCATAACACATTCTGAGAAAGACAAAATAGAATATAAAAATAAAAGTCTATTGCAGAGAAAAAATTAGAAAGATAAAGCGAGAAATTGCGGAATTAGGGTATGGGTAAGCGGGGGGAGATTTGAACATGACTCATGCGATACCAGACGCTGCCTACACTTAATAAGAAGTATCTAAACTCGACAGAAAGAGTACATTATAAAAATAACAACATCTCTCGAAGAAAAGAATGGTTTAGCATTACTATCAGTCTCATGTGGACAACACAGAGACTTCCCAAAAAAACCTTCCTATCGAAAAAATAATAGAAGTGATCCCCATTGACTGAACGAATTGAACAATATACTGAAATGTTGAAGAATAAGAAATCGCCAGAAGCTGATTGCATGAAATGTCTGAACTACTAAAGTAACACACCAAACGAAAATAAGAGAGATTCCTCGAAATAATAAATACTTGTGGAGGAGAGTATTACCATTCCTGAAAGATTGGGAGGAAAGGAATTATCATGACCCATCTTCAAAAAAAGGTAATAAGCAAGATTGCAAAAATTACAGACGATAAGTTCTTCTCAAACCACAGCCGTATGAATATATGCTAAGATAATAAACTCTGCGATTAAATCATTCATTAACGAGCGACATGTTACTGAAGAACAGTGCTGTTCAAGAAAGGGCACGCTCATGTTCGACTGCATTATTTGTAGTAGAACAACTAATACAGAAAAGATGAGAATTTAAGCTTATCGACCAGTAACATTACTTATTTACAGATTTATGAAAAAAGCTTTCGACCAAAGAGTCGCCGAAAGAAACTCGTGGAAAAATGCATACAAAAAGTTACCCAAGCCCATCTAATAGGGAGTGAATACACAAGTCTCTACTTCGACAACTAACATAATGCATATGATAAAGGATCTCAAAGAAGTAATGAAATTAATGGAATAAATCAAGAGAGTCAACACAAGGTGTCCACTTTCGCCAGCACTATCAGTATGTATATAGACAGATTGTCCGCATGCCAGGCAGTTTGAAACACATTTTTAAAATAAATGACAAATCTCTAAACACATATATTTTTCCAGAGACCAAGTAATTTCGAGTAGCTTCAGAAGACGACACAAATTGCAGGCACACAACTAAATGAACAGGCATGCCCGAATAATATATGAAAATCTCATCTAAAGAAAACAAAATCAATGGGCTTGAAGGAACAAACCCACATAGACTGTAAAATTATAATTAATAATGAAAACCCGATTAAACAGACAATAATTATCACCTACCTAAGCTTCAATGTGTCTTCAGTCAGAAAAATGAACATTAAGCGGAAATTAAATAGATTCTATAATAGTGTGGACAATAAGAAGAACATTTAAAAAATAAGACTTTAAAAACCACGGGGCACTCAAAGTTTTACAGAAGTAAGCATACCGAAGCTAATTTACCATGCCAAAAACTGGACTATAAACAGAGCTGACAGAAGGAAATAGAAAGCCGCTGAATGAAATTCATACGTTCAGTAGCAGAGTTACAATATTTTAGTAAGACAATATAATGATGACTATCCAGACCAACTCAAATATATTTAACTGAGGACAGATCCAATACATTAAGGGAAACTGGCATGACCATATTTCAACGCATTGCCTCCAAACAGATCCCCATAATAATATAATCAGTACATCCTAAAGGAAGAAGAAAAATGTTGCGCTACCCCACTAACAAGATGAAAGACTCACTCTCTTATGTGGAAACAGGCCTTAAAGCCTACTCCATAAAAGATGAAGCAGAAAGAACAAAGAAGAAGATAAATATATAACAGGAAATTGTAAGCAGAAAAATTCCATAAAACTACTTTCATGAGGTTTTATGAGTCTCCTGTAAAATTGGGAACTGTGGACTGGTTGCCTTTCTGCAGTTAGAGATTCACATGTTAATTGTGTATTTGCTAATTACATGTTGTGGATTAGTGAAGTAAGGTAAATTGTTTGTGTGTTCTGAAATCCTTACTCTTGCTTGTGCTCACATATCTTTACTCTTAATTAGCACAATTAATTTGGTAAACTGGTGACCTGTAGGGGCACAAATGCTGCTGAACAAAACCACACATTATAGTTATCCAAAAGTAGCACACACACTGCTTAACAAGAACATATAAGTCACTGCAATAAATTAAACATTTTAACTAAAACAGTCTTCAAAAATACAGCAATAACACAGTATTGTATGTTTATACAGTATGACAGTTTTTATATACCAAAAATGTTAGGACAGTTAGCATTTTATAAATCAACACATAAATAACAAGTATTTAATGGCTTCTTCTATGGAGCTTTCTCTTGCGTAACGTTTGCTGATTTGAATGTAGTAACACACCCAGCACAAGAAAAGAGAGAATAACAATGAAACTTTGCATTTTTTCAGTCAAAATCAAAACTAGTTGTAGAAATTAAAAACTCAGTCAGACCGCCATATATTGAATCTGAATGCAATTTAGGAGTTGCATTGGATTTTTATAGACATTTATTCAGTTACACAAATATTAATAAAGATCAAGAAGTTCTTTTGTTTGTTTTTCCCACAGTAATAATTATCTCCTCACAAACCAATTATATTAGTTTATTCTTCAGAAAAATCATTCATTCATTTATGCACACAAAAAAAACAACTTTTATTGCATAGAAAAGAATCTAGTCAGAAATTGAGTTTGATATATGACAATATTTTAAATAATCAACCGGTAATTTTCAAGAGGCAAAAAAATTCAAGGTATAATTTCCCCAGATATATGGTGCAAGTCTTATTGAATAAGATAGACAGTCTCAAAATCAGAACTGGAGGGGAACAGCATCTAACATCCCCAGGATTAATAGACAATAGTAGGCATCGGAGTTGACCAAATCAATTATTGGATTGCTTTCATTTCCACTTTCTAATGCAGAGAGCAAATTTTGTTCTTGACAATTACCTTCTTCACCCCAAAGGCTAAAAAGCATACAATCATTTAAATAAAGCATATATGGCAAATCAATACTAATATAATTTTAAAAAAATCAAATCTTAAAAATTAAAACAATAAAACATCAGTTTGCACATTACAAAACACCCATGTTAAAATGTTTGAATTATCTTTCAATGTCTTATATATTATAATGATTAACTTATCAATAACCAAACACACGAACACCAACCTTGCAACCGGAGATAAGAATAAATCCAAAACCAAATAGGCATATCTGCATCTTTTTTATCATTACAAGATTTTAATTTTTTTTAGCATTACATTTCTAAAAGAGTTGTTCTTTTTCAATCATTTATTTTCTCTATGTAAAACGTCTGTTCTTTCTAAATCAAAAAAATGCGAAGTTTAAACTTTTTGATTGGTTGACTGATGTGAACAGCTTTGAAGAATTTCTTAGGATGCATCTGTTCTTCAATCCTTGCCATTTATTTTCAATTTGTTTGACCTAGATGTACAGTATTGCAATCACATCAAAGAAGAAGTACTGTACTTTGTATGAAGTACTATTTGCATTATGGACAATATCATTTCATTATTTGCTTTTATCAACAATTAACTATCATACTTTAACTTAAAATTATATTGGGGAGTGTGTCATTTCCAGATGACAGTACCTGTCATCATCTCTTGGTTTCTTAAAATGTTGCTAACTAGTGGAGTATTACACGGTATATAGAATGTCCAGGGGGGGAAACGACGGAACTTTGAAAACAAACTCTTAAGACAAGTTTAAGCATATTTTTCTAATGAACTCCTTTGATATTTGAAATGACTGAGCTGCCATAAGCCCTTGAAAGTTGGTTTGAAAAAATGCAAAACTTTGCATGTCAAAAACATTGAAAATAAATAACAAGGCACCCAATTTACACAATTCAGTTGCTTTGTTATTGTGTTTATTTTTCTTTGTGAAGAAGTAAATTCATTTCTTTTGTAAATAATAAATAATTTAAACATTTTTATGAAATGCAAGTTTGCATTTTTTTTTCAAAGCAACTTTTAGCAGCTCAGCCATTCAAATTAACAACTGGGTCTATTAGACAAAATATGCTTAAAATTGTCTTAAGAACTTATTTTCAAAGTTTCATTGTTTCCTCCCTGGACACCTGTTTAATCAGCACAAAGCACAGTGAGAATTTGTTAAAGAACAGATCAGGAACGCTGTTTGAGGAAGAGCAAAAACTGAATTTCAAGCTAACAAAGTAATTATATTAGGTCAGTATTTTTATTTTACAAAATAAGACAGAAAACATACACCTATTAATTTCTATTTACTGGTGAATAAAAACAGATCATTTTGTAGATTTAAATATTTCCTGTAAGTTTTGGAGCCATTATTATTTCAACACACATGATTTTTATCTTCAAATTGGAAAGGCTGGTTGTACCAACGCTCACTGTTCCAAAGTATATGAGGCTAATGTTTGTTTGTATTGTACTGTATTTTAGATAACTATGCTTGGAAACAAGATCAGTAATAAAAGGGTATTTGTTGATTGGGAGGAAATGAAAAATGTTGTTAAAGCTACTTGGGCATCTCAAAGTGAAAGTTTATCAATTACAGAAGCATATGTATAACATGGTATATAACAGGCATATCATTAGCAACATTGATATGCCAATTTTTTCATTCAAAGCTTCTGGAAGAGAAAAATATAGCTATAATGGTAAAAGGAAGTAAAACTTTGTGAAAATGGACTAACAACAAACCCTTAAACCAGAGTAGAGTTTTCATTGCAAATGTTAAATAAACTGATATTGTTTGAATAACTATTCAGTGTTGTTGAGAAATGTTGCAGTGTTGTGCTGAAATATTTCCATTAGTAAACAGTAATTCAAAGGTTTACTCTAACTAAAAATTGAATTACCTATGTGATCCAAATTACAAAATAGTATGATCCATGGAACACAAGTGTCTTGTACCTTGATCCATGAGCAAGGTCTTTAAATAGAGATAATTTTAGAACGATTATAATAATAGGTTGAAAGGCATCGAGTCTTCTAGTACTTTATCATATCCGTGATTTGTTTTCATAAAAAAAATTAAGTACAATCATGAGTCACCTCCACTGGCTATGGAATTAGAAGAAACAAGATTAGCAATAAGAATCATGATTTATAGAAAAATGCAGTGTTGTTTACAACAAATTTTGTGTTTTTGAATTGTGCCATTTTTGTTCTGTTACCTGAAATTTTTGTATTTTAAAAGAAAAATCTCTCAGGCGTTTTGAATGTTCCAACAAATTTTGCTGTGACAAAAGACTAATTGAGAATCAATCACAAAATGCCTTTATAGGTGTGTGTCTATATATTAATTTCTATTCATGCCATTAATTTGTTAAGAAATGAATAAAAACACAGATTAACTCTTGACTCATTAAGGGATGATATAATTTTGAATCCCCGAAAATCGGTTTTGATAAAAATTGACATCTTGGCCCTTTTCTATAAGACATCAAATCCTTAATTCACAGTCTTAAAAAATGCTTTTATATTAAATCACTAATGATGAATACTGTACAATGAGGAACAATTGCCAAGAACCAGGTATCGTAAGATAGCAAGCACACTAAAAGATTCAGTTTTACAGAGACATTTGTTCAACACATTAACAACAAACTGTGCGGGACAGATTTAGATACTGTGTTCCCCCCCTCCCCCATGACTGGAAAAAATTTCTCTGAATAACAGTACAATAAATTTTTGTATGAATATCATTTAAAATTCACAAACTACTTATAGATTTTTTTTTGAAAATTTAATTACATGTTTTATTTCTTGTCCCAAAATACAAATACATGTCTGTTTCTTCCATACTGTTTGCTTAACAAACATTTAACACATATTACACAAAAGTAATCTTTATGTCATTTTTAAAAAAAATATTATTATTATTATTATTATTATTATTTTCAGGGAGCGGGGCCCCTACGTTTGGGGGGTTCGAAGAAATTCGTACGAGACTTATATAAATATCCCGGCCATGAACTGTCACTAAATTTCAATCACAATTTTTTTCCCCCTTCCAACTACTACAGCTTTAAGCATTTTCTATGAAACCAACTTACCTTGAAAGAATCAAAATATAACTTTCCCACGGGAAATACTAATCTGTTCTCTTTTCACAATTCCACTCCTTCCTGTTAAAAATTTTAAATCAAAAGTAAGAAAATAATTTACCACTTATTTTCCTTCCATGTTCCTTAGATTGCACTGTACTCACCCTGAGTGTATTTGTCGTTTTTCTCGCAACTGAACTTCCGTGTTAGTATGCTTTGTCCACACCTTTTCAACAAGAATTTATTCCATCAACTCGTGACGCTTGCAATGGCGCGCTCTTATAATACTGTAATACTCTCTGCTCTCTACACTCCTCGTAACTCTACTCTTGCAAGATCTAATATAAAAACATATAATGCAAATATTCAGCTAAGCTATATGAACCAATAGACTACTACAATTTGCAAGCATGGCCTTTATTGTACATAAAAGGCACACTACTGCCAACGTGAAAATGAGATCCGTGGGCCACGCGGAAAAAATAGGCCCTCCGTAGTCACAGTCACGTAGTACCTTTTTCCTAAGTCGGAAAAGGTCCTTGCTGACAGGAGCAGCATCACTAGCGCCCCTTGTGGTGAGCAAGCTAGCAGCCCCCTCGAGCCATTAAAACAAACTGGCTTGTGAAAGCACGGGTGAGAATCTGACAACATAATTCCATCACATTGAATACTTATTATTCATTCACACTTATTACAGAAAGCTTCAATACATCAAACTGTGTAAAGAACATTTAATATTACGTTCAATTTTTCCTGTGGTCGATATGGAAAGATTTGACACTTCACGTTTCTTTTCCCCCCTATGAGACATACAGTTTGTACTTTTTTGTTGTTGACTGAATTAACCTAAATCAGAAGGAATTCTTGTACTGTTTTGAGATACATTTAGTCTATGTATAATTAAACATGACAATTAATTGCATTAGCCCATTAAGTCCGAACGTTTCGTAAACACAACATTTCATATTAATTTTTCTTTAGTGAAACGATTCGAAATAGATTTGTTCTGTATCACTATCACACTAAGAAGAAATGCTATTTGATCATGTTTTACACTTTTCATTCATATTCGAACGTAAATTTGGCTTCGTTGAATTTTGATATTTATAGATAATGTAGTTAATTGTGCTTACGATATTCAGTTTTTAATAAACATTTATTTATTAAACAATACTTTTCTATTGAATATACTCTAGAAACTGGCTTGAACCTTCTTTATCATTTGAGAATATTTGTTATGTAAATAAGTCCTTACATAGCTTATTATTGATACAAACATGTTGCGTTTACGCAACGTTGAGATTAGCGGGATATATGGTCTGAACATGATAGGACAATAATGCAATTGGAATGTAATCGTTGAGGAATGGACATGTAACTACTGTTTCATATATATGTTCTTAAAACAATTATCTCATCTTGAAGATAGTGTCGTATCCTGGTTTATTCCATCACGGTATAAATAATACTTCAAGCGTAATTATTTATCTTCTACAAAAATTCTGCTTATTTGGGAATGATAGAAGAAAATAAGGGTCTCTATCAATTGCTGAACTTCTTTCTGGCGGAATATGTTGATCTTATTTCTGCAAATATGATTGATGCTGTGCACATTCCTCTTAATTTTGACGAAGTGACATAAGGAAAAGAAAAATAGATTGACTGTGCAACTGTCAACTCATGGAAAATATAATTGCGAAAGAAAAGATCTCACAACTATAATAACTGTCTTCTTCGACCATGACCAATGAAATCTGTGCAAAAAGAAGTGAATGCAAAAAGGAGTACATGAATTGAATACACAGGAAATTGAAAAATCTCGCCGACCCACAAACACTTCACTATCTAAAGAATTATTATGATAATGTACGAATACAGACAGAGGTGGCCCCGGGCATAAATTTGCC